GTGGTTTTGCTTTGGGGGGAAGCCAAAACCTCTCTGATGGGAAGTAATGTTTCTGTGTTCAGGAAAATAAAAGTCTTTGGTGATTCTTTCTGCAGTAGTCACTTTATCAATCATGTAGTAGAATATGAACCTCTCTGACAGGATTGACCCTCCCACAGACACTGATGCTGATGATTGTGATCAGCGTAAATCACAGTAATTAACTTCTCCCTTCGTTAAAGTCATTATTAGTTTCCTTTTTCCTTCTGCGTGTGCAAGTTTGCTGTCTGACAAAATGTTATATGTCACTTCTCCATGTGCTGGGCCCTCAGCTAAAGGTAAAAAGACCTACAGTACAAGAGAGACGTCGATGCAATTAGATGATTTAATGTGAGCAGCACTTGGCAATAGTGGGCAGCAAAAACCTCCAGGAGGCTCAGGTATGGACAGCCATCTGCTGTGACCAGTTGTAGAGTTAAAAAGGAGACAATAGATCAGGGGTGGGCAACTCCAGGCCTCGAGGGCCGGCGTCTGCAGGTTTTAGATGTGTCCCTGATCCAACACAGCTGATTCAAATGTCTTTAAGTTCTCCAGAGGCTGGTGATGAACTAATCATGTGATTCAGGTGTGTTGACCCAGGGTGAGATCTAAAACCTGCAGGACACCGGCCCTCGAGTCCTGGAGCTCCCCACCCTCCCATAGAGAGATAAAAACAAAACACACTATGTGAGAGAAATGACAAATGCTGTAGTGAAAAATAAACATGCATGTTTAAAAGAGGAGAGGCATGAAGAAATGCAGGGTCACCTGATCCAGGTTTAACTTGATGCTTTATCAACGTTTAAAGTGTCCAAGCTGGGAGCTGCTGCAGAGGAGAGCGGCCTGAAAGCAGAAAGCAACAACTGCCACAATGATGTGGATCTTAAAATATTAATGGTGTCCTTAAATGAGTCCTAAAGTAACATTTACACCCAGTTGGTCTCGTTTTATTAGAAATACTGCAGCAGTCTGACCGCAGCATCCGTCCCACGAGGCTTCCTGCGCGCTGTGGTGTTTGTTGGTCTGTGATAGAAAGCACCGGCAGTGTTCGTGTGCAGTCGAGTTTGACGGCATACAAACTGCTGTTTTTGTTTTTCCAGCTCTGGAAGGCAACTCAGTGAAGTGTTTGTCCAGCTTCCATCCAGGAAGGAACTCCCAGAATATTACGAACTGATCCGAAAACCTGTGGACTTCAAAAAAATCAAGGTTTGTGATCTAAGATGATCCA